TTATATAAATAATATTCAACACTACGTAAAGGTTTACTATGAGGAGCAATGAAATGTAGTAACTTATAGGAGATACTCTGAGATTTGGTAAAGATTGCTGCTTACTAAGGCTACCATTAGTTTAATAGCTATTTTTGCCTTCTTCATCACCGACCTCAGCCCAGTTCTTCACTGTGGTCTCAGGGAAGCTTATGAACATACAAAAGGGGAAAAAAAATGTCCTTATCTTTTCTCTCTGTAGCTAAAGTATAAGGTTAAGGAAGGATGAACTTCCATTAGGGACTCCCTCTAAGAACAATGACCTACAGGAAAGGGTGGGGAGGGAGTTACAAGAAACTTTGTCTAGATAAGTCTGCAAAGAGACTGACTTCTAAGAAAGATTTGTCAACATAAAGGCTAATTTAACAGGCTGCTTTTTCAGAGCAAGTCATTATCATCACAGCTCATTCTTATCGCATTATTGTCTTTGATGTAAATGACAGATAATACATCTACTGTATCACTGCAGAAAAATGTCCACAGGTATACCATTAAAATGTTTCAAATAACATTTTTTTCAATATTACGTTTTCTTCTTAAATAAACTAGATTTTTAATGTCATCTGTAGTATGCATGCAACTTCAAATTTGCTCTCTTCTCTTCCAAATACACAGCTCCTGCTGAGCTAATGGTTTTCTATTTTCAACTTGCTCTTTATAATTTACTGATGTTTCTTACCAAGAATCTTTGGTTTAATCCACAAAACTCAAAGGAACCATCTGAACCTATTGCCAGTGTTGAAGTATTACTGTTTCAATGTCATTATTTTATCATAAAATTATTTTCTGTGTGCACATTTGTTTCTAAATTATGTACAAATAAACTCTACCAATGCTTTCAGATTGCAGCCCATAATCATTTTTTTGGGGGGGGTACTTTATTTACATTTGAGAGACGATCTTGTTCTGTCACCCAGGCTGGAGTACAGTGGCGCTATCATAGTTCACTGTAACCTCAGTTCCTAGAGGTTCAAACAATCCTTTCACCTCAGCCTCCCAAGTAACTGGGACTACATGTGTACACCACCATGCCTGGCTAATTTTTTAAACTTTTTGTAGAGACTAGGTCTTGCTATGTTACCCAGGCTGGTCTCAAATCCCTGGCCTCAAGTGATCTTCTCACCTTGGCCTTCCAAAGTGCTGGGATTACAGGCACGAGCCACCACACCTGGCTTTGTGTGTGTTTTTAAATAGTCTTGACATATTTCCAAAGAAATGCATGTACATTTAATAAAAATTATTCTTAGCCTCTTTTTCAGTGAGTTTAAAAAGGATAATTTGGAAATTTATTACATTTGTTTTCCCCTTTTACTATGTCATCAACACTGGCTGTACATTCTTTGAATTACAGTAAAGAATTTGGCTGTCTAGACACAACAAAATAGCACAAGACTTGTTTCAAGTAAATCACTAACTTGTGTTAGCCAACAATGAGCAAAAACATTTTTCCTAACACTTTTGCTCTGTTTTAGTGAAGGCATCTAGGATCTAAGAACCATATTTGTTTCATATTTTATCTCCTACCTTTTCCACTCTATAAGTAACATACTTAGAAAGAAAAACTATCAAAAACTACAAAGCTTGGCCTGAACTGTCTTACGTTTATATATTTTCATTGGCTAAATTTATAGAAATATATGATGGCCAAGCATGGTGGCTCACGTGTGTAATCCCAGCACTTGGGGAGCCATGGCAGTAGGATTTCTTGAGCGCAGGAGTTTAAGACCAGCCGGGGCAATATAATGAGACCCCCCAATCTACAAATAATAATAATAATAATTTTAAAATTGCCTGGTGTGATGGTGTGTGTCTGTAGTCCTAACTACTTGGGAAGCTGAGATGGGAGGATCGCTTGAGCCCAGGAGGTGGAGGCTGCAGGAGGTGAAATCTGGGCCATACAGCAAGATCCTGTCTCTAAATAAATAAATAGGTCAGAAATGGTGGCTCACACCTGTAATCTTAATACTTCAGGAGGCTGAGGCGGGAGGGTCACTTGGACTCAGAAGTTCAAACCTGGACAACAGAGTGAGACCTTGTCTCTATTTAAAACATAATAATAATAAAACAAACATATATTACACACACACACACACACACACACACACACACACACACACCCAATGTAAACTTTACTGAACAAATCTAAATACAAGAGGTATCACTTGTTAACCTGACCTGCATTTGGAAAACCTTCATTTAGACCTTTGTTTATTACAATAGTATCACAGCTTATTAAGAGAGAAAGACTGGAGATAGTGCATGGCCTCCTTTTTTAAAGAATACTGAAAACCAAGGACCAAGTCAAAGCAAAAATTTTTCAGTATTCAGCTAGTCAGTATTCTCTGGATTCTTCTGAATCCTCACAGATTTCTTCCTTAAAAAAAAAAACTGAATAGACCTAAAATACTTCTGTACCAAAATTGAAAAGGCAGCTAAATTCATGCCTAAATTTTATATGAAAGAAAAATAATTATTTTTAATATGTGTAAATCTAAATCATTTGTAGGCCGGGCGTGGTGGCTCAAGCCTGTAATCCCAGCACTTTGGGAGGCTGAGGCGGGTGGATCACAAGGTCAAGAGATCGAGACCATCCTGGTCAACATGGTGAAACCCCGTCTCTACTAAAAATACAAAAAAATTAGCTGGGCATGGTGGTGCGTGCCTGTAATCCTAGCTACTCAGGAGGCTGAGGCAGGAGAATTGCCTGAACCCAGGAGGCGGAGGTTGTGGTGAGCCGAGATCACGCCATTGCACTCCAGCCTGGGTAACAAGAGCGAAACTCTGTCTCAAAAAAAAAAAAAAAAAAAAAATCTAAATCATTTGTGTAATAGGGACTCATTAAAAAACAAAACCCTCAAAATTCAGGTCTCCATCTGTTTCTTTTGGTAAAAGTTATGGAACACATGCAATCTCTGTTGTGGTTACCCATGACAGAAAAACACAGAAGCATGCCTTGTAATTTCTCTAAAAGCATTTTTAAATCCTCAGGGACATTCCTTAAATGGAATTACTAATGCTAATTTTGTGATGCTTTGTTGGTTTTACTTACATATTAATATGATAATATTCAAATCCTATTGTTTTAAGTCTGGACTTACCAAGAGAGTTTTCTAGCTTCATGTGGGACAGATTACTCCCATATTCTCATTACAAGCAACTAATAAGTAGGGCAGTGAGGCATTTGACTTCATAATGGCTGCTGAGAAGGATGACTCGAGATATTTGATCTTCCTTTATTAAAATGGTTATATCTTGAGACCCGAAAGCTGTTTAGTGCTATCTGTGGTGTGCTAAACTCTGAAGAGGTTTCATGATTTCCTTAATGTTATTTTTTAGGCCAAAACTCAAAAATCCTTTTTGTAGAATCTTCATGGAAAACAACACACACAAACACACACACACACACACACACGCACACACACCCCACCTACCTACAGTGCTTTCAGACTTAACATCTGAAGTTCAGTATCCCAAAAGAGAAGGGAGAAAGGCATATCCCCAGGGATATACGGATTTAGCAGAGACCATCCCATCCCACCGTAAAATATTTTTGAAGTTTCATGACTTGAAATCTTATACTTTATTTTTTAAATTACCCCAAATTTTGCTTTAGCTGCGTATGTTTCTGTTTTAATATAAATACTATGTCTCAAAGAACTAAAAAGTGGCCCAGACCAATATTATAAGAAGATATGTGTCCTGTGTTATCACATACACAGTAGCATAGGTCATGGGCACCTAGTATGAGAGTCTGAAAGTCCAAAATGAACATGTTAGCAAAACTGAGCTGAGAGATAGTAGAAACTGTGTAGATAGAATAGGCAATCCTACTTCCAGCAAGCATCCAGATAATTTAGACTAAACACACTTGGGACCTGGAGATGAGATACACAGGCAGTCTTCCAAAAGGCAGGGAGGAGGTGGAGTTCAGGCTGAATAATGGGGGAGTCATTCAATTGTTCAGTTATTTACTCCCTTATGAGCTCTGGGCACTGAAACAAGTTACTAACTGGAAATACAAAGATGGATAATTACAGCTCCTAACCAAAGAAGATCACAAACCAGCAGAATAAAACAGACACCTAAGCTGGAACTTACAAATTGAAGTGAAAAGTGAAAAGGTAGAGAGAAATCAAAAGCAGCAGAGGATTGAGGAAGTGGCAGGAACTAAGGTAGTGGCACTGCCTCTTCCATGGGCTTAAGAGATTTAAGAATTGTTTTAAATTTCTGTAGCAGTGCTCAAAGGCTTAGGAAGAAATGTGAAGCATGCAGGTCTATTACTTTCTTCAAACTCTAACTTAAATGCGAAGAGGTAATATCTGGCTTATTTCAACACAATTCTAAACTCACTCTATTGACAATTCTAAACTCACTCTATTGAAATAACTATTCAATAGAGTGAGTTTAGAATTGATTGTGTTGAAAGTCTAAACGCATTCTCAGTTTAGAGTCATTCTAAAAGTGTAAGAAAAGTTTTGTTGTTTTTAAAGACTCATCTCAATTTAATCGGGTTGCTCCTCTCCGAAGGGAGTATCAGGTCACAGAGAACTTGTTTGAAGACATTTGGTTTCAGCTACCAAACTGAGTGAAGGGACACAACCTGAGCCATCAGGTTAGACTCCCAGCCCCACAAACACCACACACATACACACCCTCAATTTAACATAAGGGAGGCTGGAGATAAATAGAAGTAGTAAAAAAAGACATTCTATTTTGCTGACTTAAGCAAGTCAGTTATTAAATAGAAAAAAAAAAAAAAAACACATAGGTTAAAGAGCAGATAATTTTGTGGGGATTCAGAAGAGAACTTAAGAAATACAGCTTTGGACAAGTTGAAGTTGAGATTTCTTGTCAGCCAGCAAACTGGATGTATAAATCTTTCTATTAGGTTTATACAACTGGAGATCAGGAGAGAGATTTGAACTAGAAAGTTTTATTTGAGAGGTTTTACAATATAAATAATCTCTTCATGGCCTTTGGCTAAGATCAAGTGTGGTATCTGTTCTTATCAACTTAAAATCTGATATGTCCTCTATTCAAGGACAATATATTAAATGTATTTTTGAGCAAGCAGATGGAATAGGAGCTTGTTCCAACCATACCATACACCTGGTACTGCAGTACCTCCAGGAATGGTGCACTCCACCCACACCCACATACACCCCCCAATAGATAATACAGAAGCTGTGAGAGGAAATAAATATTACTTAGTTTACATAGTTTCTTATAAAAAGTGTTCCATGTTATCCAAGTAATTCAAACTATAAGCGTCACTGGTTTTGTTCTTTGTTTTTTTGTTTTTTGTTTTTTGGTGATAGGGTCTTGCTCTGTTGCCCAGGCTGGAACACAGTGGCATGATCACAGCTCACTGCAGCCTTGACCTCCCAGACTCAAGCAATTCTCCCACCTCAGGCTCCCAAATAGCTGGGACCACAGGTACACACCATCATGCCCCGCTAATTTTTTTTTTCTTTTTTTTTTTTTGTAGAGACAGGGTTTTACCATGTTGCCCAGACTGGTCTCAAACTCCTGGGCTCAGCAATCTACCTGCCTCAGCCCCCCAAAGTGCTGTGGTTGCAGGGGTGAACCACCTAGCCCAAACAGCTTCACTCTCATTGTTGTATGCAAATTTTACTATCATGCAATAATTTCATGTAAATAAAACTAATAGATTGCCTTAGAAAATTACACAATTAGTGTGAAAAAAAAAAGATTACTTGGGGACAATGGGGTAGAATATGGAATTGAAGGTCAAAACCACAGCCCTGATGGAAAATAGCCTTTCAGTGGATGGACAGAAAAGGAGAAGTCAACAAAAAATACTGAAGCAGCCTGAGAATTAAGAGGAAGATCACAAGGGTGCATTTGCTTAGGAATCAATGACACAGGATGTTTTTTAGACGGGAAGAGTGATCAAAGGTGAAAAAAATCTTTCCAGGGATTATGTACGTAACTCAGGGGCTTATCTAAGAGCATGAATGTCATTTGTGATCTTCATGAAAGCAGTTTTAGGGCAGTAGTTGAGAAAGAAGCAGAGGATGGGACTTTATTTTATTTATTTATTTATTTAAAGATGGATTCTCACTCTTGTAGCCCAGGCTGGAGTGCAGTGGCACCATCTTGGCTCACTGCAACCTCCACCTCCCGGGTTCAAGCGATTCTGCTGCCTTAGCCTCCCAAGTAGCTGGGGTTATGGGCGCCTGACACCACGCCCAGCTAATTTTTGTATTTTTAGTAGAAATGGAGTTTTACCATCTTGACAAGGCTGGTCTCAAACTCCTGACCTCAGATGATCCACTCGCCTCAATCTCTCAAAGTGCTGGGATTACAGGTGTGAGCCACCACGCTCAGCCAAGATGGTGGGACTTTAAGAAAGGTTAAGAAGCAAAGACAAAAATAATCGGTAACTTGTTCAAGCATTTGGGCTTTATAAGCAAAAGAGAGGTCAGTAGCTGAAAAGAGACATGAGACCCAGAGAGAATCATTTGTCTGGTATCTTGTTTTTTGTTTTAATATTATGCACTTGAATTCAATGAGTGAGAAAGACTAAGTAAAATGGGAAAGATTGGAAACTGAAAAAAAGGGAGGATAATTCTCAGGTCCAGTGCAGAGAGATAGGGGAAGTAACCTCAGAGAGGAGGAGGAAGATCTTTTCCATTAAAATGAGAGGGAAGGCAGAAAGAAAGGTAGTATTGCATAGCAGTGAGCAAATTTGGTGCTGGGATATTGAGGAAGTTTCTACCTGAGGGCTTCTCTTTTCTCTGTAAGAATCCATTGAAGAAAAGGATATGAGAGGCAGAGGAAATGTGGCTAAAGTCAGATATTTGAGGGAAACTAATTAGTCTTGAAATCACCACAACGAAGAGCAGAAGGATAAATTTGCTTGGGAAAATGTAAGTATTGTCCAGCACTGTTCGTGGTCCAAGTGAAGTGGTTGACTATAAATGTAACAAGTAGTAGTTATCCTGGAGTTTTCTTGTTTTGTTTTAATTGTCTAAAACAGTACTCAGAAGTCAGAAACATATGTGAAGAATAGAGGTTCATTATTTTCTCCAACCTAAGACCTAGATATAAAGAGTTAATGTCTGGTTTACTTGGGTTAGACCAATTCTAAAACCATCCTCATGAGTAATTGATTACTCCAAAAGGCAAATACATTTCTGTTACTTTTAATGATTTATCTCAATTTAATCAAATTGCTTCTCCCTGAGGCAGGGTCAGGTCATGGAGGTCTTACCACAAGATGTGTGGTTTCAAATGCCAGATGGATTAAAGGGACAAGACATGAATAACCAAGCTAAACTCCTCACTCTCAGCATTAGGGGAACTGAGACACAACAGCATACACACAGAGTTCATCAACAGTTATTGGAGGATAAGAGGAACCAGTTCTTCAAAATAATGCGATAAGAATAATTATATATTTCATCTGTAAAACAAAGAGAACAAGGACCTAAGCTCGCTTAATATGACGTTATTGCCAAGTTCTTTAAATTCAGACAACTTAAGGGTGATTGGTCTGAGAGGTTGAGTTGAATTTACAGATAGGAATGAAATGTCCTCAACTGTGTGGATTGAAGGGTTGCAGAGTCAGGCAGATTACAAAATGCGGCTTTGAAATCTTAGAAGAGCTTCCTCCACCCTCTATTCCCTAATCACATACTCGGAGCATTTGTGCGGTATCACCAAAATGATGGGTGCTGTAAATACTATATGGGAATTAAAAGGAAATACTATGATCATGAGTGGGTAAATTATGATGAAATGAAGAAAAAGGAACACAGAAGAATGACAATAGAACCAGAGTGAAAGAAATGTCAAAAGTTCAAGAAATTTTCAAAAGAAAATTTCATATGTGAATAAAAACAGACTAAAAGGACAGAAAAATGTAGAAACACTGTGGCCCTTCTTCCCTTTCCTCAAATAGTAACAGAATAATGATATTGACAAAGACTCTCTCCTTTGACCAAAACTTTAGAGAGGCTCTCCAGTCCTTTCTGACTAGAACCAACCTTCAGGGTCCCGCTTTACCCTTGTAGAACTGTTAGATCAAAAATCCTGCCTGCCAGTTTACCAAAAATTCCCCACCCCTGATATTGGTCTCTGACTACTGTTGATATCTGATGTCACCACTTTGCCTTCAGCAATAAAACTATTGAGTCAGTATAGCCAGAAATCCCCAAATCCTTGATGTCTCCTCCTAGTAATTTCCCATCCACTCATCTCCAGCATGCTCCTTGGTTATAAATCTCCACTTGTATACTTTTCATGGGGAGCATGTAAAAAGAAAAGCAAATCCTCACTTTATCTTGTTGGAATCAAACAGGAGTCCACTCTCTCTCCCACATTATAAGACCCTATTGCAGTCACTATACCTATCATCATGGCCTACCTTGAATAAAGTCTGCCTCACCATCTTTCACAAGTGAAATGATAAATTTTTTCTTAAACATTTTGTATAATATAGTGTAGAAATGTAAGGGAAAGGAACACATCTGGAATAGATGATGAAAAAATAAGTTAAATGGTAGGACTCAAGCATAACATTCAACTGAAAGCAATCACAGAACATAGGGTGAGTGCACTGAAGGAGAGCAACATTAGTCTCTGAGAAACCAGTGGGAGTCTATTAGAGGTATAGGTGAGCAATAACAAGTTGGAATCTAGAACTTTGATTCTTAAATTCTGTATGCTCTTCTATTGCTCTCAAAATGTATTTCTGGCTGGGCACAGTAGCTCACACCTATAATCCCAGAATTTTGGGAGGCCGAGGCAGGCAGATCACCTGAGGTCAGGAGTTTGAGACCAACCTGGCCAACATAGTGAAACCCCGTCTCTACCAAAAACACAAAAATTAGCCGGGCGTGGTAGCTGGTGCCTGTAGTCCCAGCTACTCAAGAGGCTGAGGCACAAGAAACGCTTGAATCCGAGAGACGGAGGTTGCAGTGAGCTAAGATCACACCTCTGGACTCCAGCCTGGGCAACAGAGCAAGACTCCATCTTGGAAAAAACAAACAAAAAAATGTGTTCTTACACCTTATCAAAAATTGCTTAAACTAAGATTATCATAACTAGTAAAAGAAAAAGAATCATATGTAACTTAAGAACAAGAAAAATTATGTACTTTTTAATAAATTACTCCTGCTCATTGAACAAACAAAATCAATCCACTGAGACCACAGCATTGCGGTAAGAAATCGGCACAAAGCTGGCCCATGTAAGAGAATGGGAGTTATCATGCAAATTAGTCTCTACAAAAGCTCAGAGATTAGAGGCTTTTCTGGACAATTTGGTGGGCAGGAAGCTGGGGAATGGGTGTTGCTGATTGTTTAGAAGTGAAATCATAGGGCAATAGAATGTGGTCCTCCATTCTCGTGCACTGAGTCTGCCTCCGGTTGGAAACACAGGACCAGTTAAGCCATAAGCCACAAGTCCAGATGGGGTCAGTCTGAAAAAATCTCAAAAACATTATCTTAGGTTCTACAATAGGGATGTTACTGATAAGCATAATTGGGAAAGTCACAAGTTTTGTGACCTCTGGCCATATGACTCTCAAACAGTAAGGGACTGTAGAAGCTATGCCTACATTTTATCAGAGTTCACACCACTCCCACAAACCTATTCTTGTGGCCTTTCATTAGCTTTACAAAGGTGACTTTCAGTCCCTGAGCAAAGAAGGAGTTAGTTTTGGTTCTTTTACTGTTGTTTGAGTTTTTTTGGTTGTTTTTATGAGATGGGGTCTCACTCTGTCACCCAGGTTGGGTGCAGTGGTGCTATCTCGGCTCAATGCAACCTCCACCTTCCTGAGCTCAAGCTTCTTCCCACCTCAGCTTTCCAAGTAGCTGGGACACAGGGGCATGCCGCTACACCCAGCTAATTTTTTACATTTTTGATAGAGACAGGGTTTCACCACATTGCCCAGGCTAGTCTCAATTTCCTGAGTTAAAGCCATCTGTCCGCCTCAGCCTGTCAAAGTGCTGGCGTGAGCCACCACACCAGGCTGAGGAGGTTAATTTTAAGGAGGGACTATTATCATCCCTCCTTTCAAGTTAAACTATAAACTAATTCCTCCCAAAGTTAGCTTGGCCTATGCCCAGTAATGACCAAGGACAGCTTGCAGATCAGAAGCAAAGTGGAGTCAACTAT